AAAAGTGGGTTTCAAGAATTTCGCAGTATCTTTGTGAGTTAAGGTTTTCTGTAAATAAAACTAGTGCGATTGGCCCCATGCAGAAAACACTCCCCATGCGTAAATTTTGAATGGGTGTTTTACCATGCTACAGTGCGGACGCGGGCTTCCATGACGGTACCTTACTTGTTGTGTGTTTTTGAACATTTGTAGTGTTGTTTCGTCGGAAAAAATCGTGCTAGACCACTTGTCTTGCATATGTTCATGGGCCCATTCGAGACGGGCAGCAATGTGGGAGGGTTGGAGAAGGGGAACGTGTAACGGTCGGCAAACAATATATTGGAGGTCCTTTTTAAAAACTTCCTGGATAGTATGAACTGATATATTTAAGTTGGGGTGGGTTTCATTAAGTCTGGCAGCCGCTTCAGTGGCAGTAACCATATTATTGGCTCGTATGAGTTGCCCGAGGTGACGATGCTCTTTCGCCGTAAGAATTTTGGGTCTTCCAGGAATGGGAAGTGGGACAAGGGTGCCTCTTTTTTTGAGTCAATTTACATGATCATATGTTGTGCTCTTTGGAAAACCTGTAATTCGTACGATTTTGGCAGGTTTCCTTATACCATTATCCCATAAATGCCTTATGACCGTTCTTTGCGCAGCGAGATCAATGTTGGACGACATTTTTCACGTCTAGTACTAATTTGGCAGCTTAAAATAGTGAGTTATTTATATAAACCAGTGTGCGTGCATCATTTAATATAAATAACTCATTACAAAAATGTACTTACCCAGAATTCGGTTGTCATCACACTTTTTTGTGTAATGAAACAAAAGTCCGGATCTTTTCTGCGCCCACTGTAAGTATGCACAATTTGGAATGACTTTTTAGTGCATTTATTAACATTTGATTACATTAATAGGTGAGCATATTCGCGTCTACGAGATGGTCCTTAATTATGACGGAATATACAGGATGATCTTGGTTGCAGATGTATGTGTCCCAATTGAACGGGAAAAAATTGTAGGCTTTTTGCCAGTTTTGGAAGCGTTTTATAATGTTAAAGTAAGTGGCTAAGACCGTAGCTGTTTACTACATTTGAGGTAAAATCGGCACCAAACATTTTAACATTCTTTTTTTGTTATTTTAAGCATCGTATTTCCGAACTTTTAACGGTAATTGCCTCTAACACCCGCCTAGTTCTCCATCACGTTCTTCCTATGGTAGAATGCCTACCCCTTCGCCAAAACCTGTTAGGGTTGCAATTACTGGTCTGCAATCAAATTGATTTTTTGTATATAGTTTCTTATAAAATTATTATCTATGGCATATTAGAAAATAGATGGCTGTAGTTTTTTATCAATTATCTTATATATACGTGGTGAAAAAAGATGATTTTAATGTGTTTCGCCGAAATTTTGAAGAAATGAAACGCATTTTTGATCAACGTGACATCACTAAGTATTGGTTTGAATTGGTTTTTTATTATATATTTCTTTTTTCGGAACATTTGACGACGGGCGTCGTCGAAATTTTGATACTCTAGTCACGCATTTTAAATAATTAATAAATATATACAATCTATCACTAAAACATGCAATCTGAGATTGATTCATTGAGACAACGAATTTCTGAGCTTGAAACCGAAGAGGCTGAGCTCGAAGCCAAGAATGCTAAACTGATAAAGCAGGTTACGGAAGAGAATGCAAAGCGAGAAGCTAAAAATACGGAGCTCAAAGCCAGGATCGCCAAATTGGAACAGATAGTAGAAGAAAATACTGAGCTTAAAGATAGAATCACGAAATTGGAACAGAAACAGGAAGCATCTACAAAAGATATTTCACTACTAACCGAGAGCCATTCTCCAGAAATAGAACATAGCTCTGCCAATCTGAAACATCTATAACTTCTTTACCACAAGATGTTATCCATGACTATTCAGCTGAGATCTTTGATTTTGTAGAAACGATACATAAGGAAAGGATTAGTAGTGAGATAAGAGAGGAATTGGGAAAAAAAACTTCAAGAATCACATAATAACTCAACTCCACCGATACAATCCGAAGTATCAACCACTTCGACACCTGAATTTCTGGCTCGAAACTGAAAAAGGTTTGTTGTGATCAGAATCAAAATAAAAGCCAGGACAATAAAATCACGTGACTGGATTTTCAACAACGGCCCGTCGTCAAAATTCTTATACAATCTCATTACTCGACTTGGCACAATTATTTGATAAAGCAACAAATGCTGAATATTATGCTACAAAAAATAACCAGGAAGAAACCATATTTTGGATTAACTATGGAAAAGAATTCGTAATTCAGTATAATGATCTTATAATAAACAGTAATGGCAAAATTAGCGAGATAAAGACAAAAGGTATAATTATGATAAAATATTAGAGCACCTTACTATCATCCGTGAAAAAAGATCCAAGGAAATGGGATTACAGCTCCCAGAAATCTCACGTAAAACTTTATGTAGAAAAACCCAAAGGGCTATAAAGACTTATAATTCGACGACGGCCCATCGCCAAAATCATGTAGCCGAAATTTTACCTGAGGTAAATACACCCACCAAACCTCAAACTCTTCTGTGAAAACTAAGATCTTATTAGAAGTTAAGACGAGTGAAGAAAGTATATAATCTACACCTCAACTCAAGAAGACTTTACCTGAAAAGCAAATAATCCAGCTCATGACCTTGTTTATTTTCGCAACAAAACATTGGAGCAATATCCTGATCTATATTATGAATATAGCAATGAAAATGTTAATTATTATGGGATTACTGCAGAGTCATAATGCCCAATATGTAAGTTAATTAATGAGGATGAGGAAGGTATTGAAGGCAATTATCAAGCTGGATCTTACTATATTAAATGTGAACAATGTGGAATTGAAATTAAGGTAACTGCATGAACATTATGCTAATACAATTCGCTTAAGTCTTTAGAACATCTCTCTGAGGTATATTTATTTTATGTTGGCTATTGTATTGTGAAACAATGAGCTTCACTCTAATTTAAAGATACAGTATGTGCAATCATATAAAACGGGAACATGAATACAGAGGCAAAGGCCAATAAAATGTTAACTCCCAAATATTTGGAGTGGGAAGCTAAATAAACAAAATTGCCAGGCATTTTGACAGATAAAATTCATTTTAGGTTATATAAAAGATATAAGAATAAACTGGGCGGATAATGTCTGAAACTATCGAATCCCCACAAATCGAAAAGACTGATAATTACCTTTCACAGATTGTATTATTAAGATTTCTAAATTTCCAGAAGAAAAGGATGTGATTATTGTAGCAGTACAGAAATGATTCTCTTTCTTGAGGTATACTTAATCGAATGCATGGTACAGAGATTCTTTTAAATATACTGATTCGGAAGTTTCATGCCCAATATGTAAAAAGGTACATACACGTTTAGGAATATGGGGTGATTGGAGCTTTCTAGGTAAAAATGATCACTATTTTCTTAATTGCCCTTTTCGTATTAATCAAAAGAAAGTTATTATTGCTGTACAGAGTTTACCAGAAACTCAGGGAGGGATACCAAACAAAACCCGCCTTTATCCGCAAGAGGCAGGCTTACACCAATATGCCATCGAACATGGAATGGATCCTGAAGAATTTTCAATCATTACTGAGGCTGAGGAAAAAAAAATGGAGAATGAGATGCTTCCGTGGTGACTTGGAAAGAGATATACGCTGTTATCGGGATGGAATAAAGAGGAATGACGACCCTAGAAAATATTACAAATTTTTATCAGATCGGGAAAGACTGATTGGTGAAGAATTATTACGTCACAGTATACTAAAAAGTGGTTTAAGTACTGCATGGTTGGATAATCTTATGAAAGAATGGGAACGTTTCCATACTCAATTCGTACAAAATTTTAGTCAGGCCTAACCAGATCAACTCTGCGTATTAGATGTTATATAATATCTGAACTTGAGACACTTTTTTCCACACTCTCATCTGCCAAATTACGAACAACGATATAAACGATATTTAGACCTATACTGTATATCCCACTATAATTATTATGTATCTCATTCTCATCGCAAACTATCACCAACAAAATATAATAAATATTATATCATTAAAGAGATGGTCGGAGAATCCAATCTGCACAAAAAATGAATCTGGTTTTAACAACTATCAATATCAAACCAAATCTAATAGGTCTAAATCCCTAAATACGATATAAATCATATAATCTCTAGTTACTTGTAACCACTTTTAGCAAAAACACTTAATCGTTAAATATGGTCTATACATAAATGCCCAGTTTTGAGTGATACTGAATAGAGAGATAATTGTCGATTCCCTGTAATTCGTAATGGAGAAACCCATCTGATTGGAAGAAAGAATATGGGATCAGTTAATGTACTATAGAAACAATAATCGCCTAGGTGATGATAAGAAGCGATATCTTATTGCAAGAAAGTATGAACCTTTAGAAGGATATAACAATAGATTTTATGTTGAAACGAACATTGCTATATGTTTTAGCTGTGATCAGTTGTTTATGTCGATAAAAGAGTAGGATATAAATCATGTCTCAATTATAAGATGGGAAAACATTGGCGTACAAATTGTACTGGAAATAAATATTGTGATATTAGCTTCAAAGAATATATGAAGCTTAAGAAAAAACCAGAAGTTGAACATGATATCTTTACAAGGTTAGCTATTTATCGGTATGAATTACGAATAGAAAATCTTATCAATAGAGTTAAACATATTCGAGAAACAGCAAAAAATATTCGAGCTGTAAATATCATAGCTTGAATATATGTATCGGCCTAATGGCCTTTGTGCTTCAGAGCTTGCTCAACATTATCAATTATTATGGGCCATTCGAGAAGAAATGCGAATATATAACTTAATTTATTATAATATATCATTTATTCGATTTAATCTATAACTTATTCATATATATCTATTTTATTAAAATCACCTAAGGTATTTTTTGAGGCCCAATACTTTTGACTTTTATTCACTATTATTTAACAAAAATCCAATACAAGTCAATACAACTATATATCCAACTAAAAAAAAAGAACCAGTTAGAATTCTAGAAATCTGAATATCAAACATAATATAATTACTCTTAACTATATTAAATTACAGAGAAAAGTAAAAACTTGGTATATACTTCAAATCAAAATATACCACTGAATCAATGGTTATATATAACAAAGTTTTATTTCCACATATTGAATTTAAATTTTAAACAACATTTTAACTCCAAATATGCTTAAAAATTTTTTTTAAAAAATAGATTTCATAATAAAATCCAAATTCAACATTTAAAGAACACATTTCCAAAATTAATTTTATAATTCTAATGTTTTCAATATTAAACAAATTCTTTTACTTGCAATGTGAAGTTCTAATTTCAATTTTTAATACTTACCAATTCAACAACATATTTATTCAAGAAATTTAAAATTAAAATCACAAAAAATACAATTGCCAATCCTTATACATTCTCAAAAACAATTCAGTTTACATACATAGCACCACAACCTTTTATATTATTCTAGCATATAAATATGATATAACTTTCTGCTTAGCCTTATAATGTCCCTACAAATTCTCAAAAGATTTTTATTCCAATTTATTCCATTCTAGAATTATATAAAAAATGGTCAGTTTTTTGCTAAACAATTCTCAAAAAGAAAAATATACTATGTTGAACAAATTTTTACTTAAATAACAATTAAATTACAAACTGAAACCACATATTTGCAAAACTTAACTACAATATTCAAGGCAAAATATTTCTTAAGATATACAATTCTTATTCAAAACAAATACTTAACAAAAGATCTACTTTAGCCAAACTAAACCAAAAAAAATAGATTGTATTACTTGAGAATAACAATTTTATTTTTGATAAAAAACAAAAAAAAACAACAAAAAATAATATACTAATTAATCAATAGATCACTACTAACAATAACTTTAACCTATTTATTATTCTCTTTAAATCTACTATTTGCCAATACAATATCTCAAACAACTTTTAAAAATACTAACTCATTTCAAATCAATCTTCAACCTCTTTATTAAACCTATTACTAACAATAATGTAAAAACCAAAATAATCAAATTTGATTTACTTAATACACTTCTTTTCAAACAAACAAATAAACTCTTAAATCTACTACAAATATTAATATCATTAAACATTTAAAATTACTAATTCAAAAATATATATTCATTTTATTACAAAAAATTTTCAAAGTAATACACTTTTCTTTTAATTCATATCCTGAAATTTTCTTAACTTTAAATATTTTTTCAATTCAATCATAGTAATATAAAACTTTATTCAATACAAAAAATCTTATACAATCAATTTTACTCTTTCTTCTCTCTACTTTTTAATCCTTATCCTCTTTACTAGTAATACAAAACAAATGATATTCTTCTGTAAATATCTCAAATCTAACAAACTCTTATCTCCATTATCAACTAACCATAAAAAAAATGCAAACTTTCATATGTTATTGCTATTAGCAATATTTACAATATTTTTCAAATGTTACAAATCCCTTGTACCTTTTACAAATTTATTTTGGCAATAACAAAAACATATTTATACAATACAATTATTCCTTAACTCAATATTATTAACCTTTTTTTTTTTTATTTTATATCTTATCTAATTATAAAATAACTTACTTCTCCTATATGCAATCTTATCAAAAAATAAATAAAAATAATTTGACTAGTTAACATAATTTACTTAGAAAAAATAATAACTATCTTTAAGTCAGACTTTTTACTTTTTTCACAAACTATTACATTCTTAAAAATTTATTATTATCAATTACTTTAACTCAATTCAAACTTTATAACTTTCATTACAAAATTTCTTTAATACACTATTAACAAAATCTTATCTATATTCTACTTTATTACATCTATATATTAATAATTTCTATTTATATTGCAATACAACCTTAAAAACAATTTATTATATTTGGCTCTATAAAGAAATCAATTTAACAATAATACAAATTATCAATAATACACTAGTACAAGTCATATTTACCTTTTAACAACTTATTAACTTTTCTTTTTTTTTGCATAAACTTAACTCTTAATCTTCTAAACACAAACCTTACTTTCAAAAATCTTAAACTATTCATTATAGATATAAAATCTTTAAACAAACTATAAAACAATCTTTTTAACCTAATATATCAAGAAATATGAATCCATAGAAACAAAAACATAACTGAAAAAATATTTATACATTTTTTACTTAAACAAATTAAGAAAAACAATCAAATATCAAATATAAAATATGGAAAAAAAAGTATTACAACTAACAATTCTTCTAATCCAAATCAAACAAACTTTTTAATATTATTATCAAAACATTCACTAAAAATTTATTTATATTTTTTCAGAATAGAATAAATTATTAAATAGGTATTGATTTTTCAAAAATATATAATATAATGTTATATAAATATAATTTATATAATATTTCAACTCTTTTTACTAATTTTTTTATTAATTCAAAAAACAAATATTCTTAAATTTTTTTTTATTTTATAATAATAAAGTCTATATTTTGTTTTTAATATCTTATTTTCTAAAAACTAATATCTTTTTTACTTGTTTACTCTTTCTTTTTCAAAAAAATTTATATAATTTAATAACAAAACAAACAAAACTTTATTTATTTGAGTAATAGCAAGTATACTTTATTGAAAAGAATAAATTTGCTAAAAAAAAAAATTATTTATTATATTTTCTTTAAGTTTGAAACTCTAGCAAGCAAATTATTGAAGAATGTATTTTTCAAGTTTTATAAAAACCTTAAGTTTATTATAAGTAAACATCTTTGATTAAGGCAGATGGATAGTAGAATGTTTATCAGTTCCAATATATAATTTTTTTACTAATTATATACTATATATTTGTAATAGTGTTTAAGTATATTAATAATATTTTTAGTTTTTTTAGAAATTTTGTTTACCTTAGTTTGATCTTGAAATTTTTGTTATACTGGAAATTTGGATTGATAATTGATCAAAATTTTGAATTAATTTATCAATATATAAAAAAAATATAAACAATACATGTATTGTTTATACAGTATATTATTATAATTATAATAGTGAATAGTATTAGTTCTATTTTTAGATTAGTTTATTTTATTATTCTTATTATTTTATTTTATTTTATTTATTTTATTTTTTAATTAGTTAAGTAAGACTTTACTTTATCTTTATTAATATAGTCTGTTTTTTATATAAATTACATATATCTAAAGATTAAACTATATTAATTCTTATATTAACTAGAATCCATCTATAGGTAACTTTAACCATCTGGGTTAAGTATGCCACTATTATTTTTTATTTGAATTTTCATTAACTCTGAATCTTATTTAATTCTATTCAATTCTATTTATTGTTTATTTAACTTTATTCATTATATATTATACTACCATAACCTATTTCGGCTAATAAAAATCTTGTAGAGATAAACCTTCTTTTTAATAGACTTTTTAGGAAGAGACATCAGATACTACAGGGAAAAATTATCATATTAACTTGTTCTATCTTTAATACTTTATATATCTTTTCATTTTTAACAATTATTGTAATATCAATCAGATAATCATTGTACCATAACACTTTTTTTGGAGATTACATTTTTGATGTTTGCTTGAATCAGTATATGAATTGGCTTTTTTTATAAGAAACAGTACTTAACAGGTCATAGTGCTGGATATTATATTAATTTTATTCAACTGCCTTCACCTGGAGTTAAATTGGTATTTTGTGATCTGGACCTGGGAGCACTAACTATTATGTTATTGATTCACAGGTCATTTTTATTATTTTATTATTATTATTACTATTTTTTTTATAGTAGAATGATATTAGATGCAGAACTTTATTAAATAATCATCAATTTTTATATTACATCAAACATTATCTATTGTTATTACAACAGTTAAATGCTAGCCTATTTACTTATTACCCCAGTAATATTAGTAACACTTATGAAATGGATTTATATTTTTTGGGAGAATCTATCTAGAGAATAGAAATCCTACCACTAGTTTTAAACCATTTAACATACTGTTCCAATTTTTGTATAAAGACAATGAATACTGCTGATTATTTTCTAAGATTACTTATTATATTATACCTTTTTGCTTACACAACTAATATAGCAGAGGGCTCTCGATATATTGTAATCCCTAGTGAATACTTTGGTTTTGATTATTGGTTGGCTTTAAGCTACCAAATCTAGGGGCTTTTGTGGCCAAGTAGGATGCAACTTTTTAAGGAATTCTTTAATCTTCTAGTAGATATTCCAGTTTCGGACTGGTTAGCTTAAGCTACCAAATCTAGGGGCATATAGTAAATATCAAGCAGGACACAACTTCTATATAAACTGTTAAGGTAAGGAAACTAGGCCATACAAGAGTAATATCAGTACAGTACTCTCCTTTAAAGCTTTCTTATTTGCTAGCCAACAGGAAAGAAAAGTGTTATACAGGTTTGTTAAGATTGAGTATAATTCAATCTATATATTTAAATAAGTGGTTATTTTTGAAAGTTGATAAGGGTTGGTTAAGATAAAGTACAGCCCAGTTTATACATCCAAATATGTGGTGACTCCTTTTATTAAATGACCATTGTAACATTAACCAGATGATCATCATACCACTACACCTTAATAGAAAGATCACAATCTCAATATCTACTAAATTAATATATAAAGCAGATTCTTATAAGAAACAATACATAATTGATTAAGATATCAGAAATCATGTTAATCTGTTCAATCATTTTTATATGAAATTGAACTGGTATCTTGTGATTTAACTTGTGAAGCACTAATTACTGTGTTATAGATCCACAGATCTATTATCATTATTATTATTATTATTATTTTTTTTTTTAATTAGCTAAGTAAGACTTTACTCTAGTTTTTATTAATATAGCGAGTTGTTACATATATTACATATATAAGGATTAAACTATATTAGTTTTTATATAAACTAGAATTTACCTACAGATAACTTCAACTATCCAGGTTAAGTTTGTCACTAATTATTTTTATATCCGAATCTTCTTTAACTCTGAATCTTTTTTAACTCTATTCAATTCTATTTATTGCCTATATACTAACCCTATTCATTGTGTATTGTACTACCGTAACCTATTTTAGCTCATATAAATCTTATAAAGATAAACTTTTTTCTTGATAAACTTTTTAGGGAAAGACACCATGTATCACAAAAAAGATCATTATACTAATCTATTCCATCTTAGATATTTCATATATCTTTTCATTTTTCAGTAATTATTGTAATACCAACTGGATAATTATTACATTATGATATCTTTTCTGAAGATTATATTCTTGATACCTGCTTAAATCAGCATGTGAATTGGCTTCTTTATAAGAAACAGTACTTAACAGGTCATGATACTGGATATCATATTAATTTTGTTCAATTGCTTTTACCTGGGGTTGAACCAATATCTTGTAATCTGAACCTGGAAGCACTGACCACTATACTATTGACCTACAGGTCATTATAATTTTTATTTTATAATTAGTATATATTTTATAAATAGTATATTAGTTATATATAGCATATAGAATAGATTATATATTTTCTTATAATTCAAAGATATATAAATAAAACAGTTATTCTTTTTAGCTGATTAAGAAATTCTTTTAACTTTTTCCAATGTTTCAATAAAATCCAATTAAATCTTATATCAAATCACCATGTTTCTTTACTTTATATTAAATAAACTTTGCTAAATTCTTTTATCCTATCAACTTTAATATATCACAATTGAGATTATTTCTTTTTAACTTAAGTGATTACCTGCTATAATTGTCTATTAATTTATTCAATTTTAAGGTTTATTGGATAAATTAACAATATTTTATATTATATAATACAAAAATTAATAATATATAACAAGAGAGCAAGATATTAATATATCTCTTTATTGAAAATAATTTGAAAATTTTTTTTCTTTTTTTTATACTAATTTCTTTTTTTTTTAAAAGCAAAGAAAATTATTATTAAACTGATGATTGATTTAAAAGAGTTTTTATTTATTAGTACAAGTTTTTTTTTTTTTTTTTCTTTACTTTTAAAAAAAATAAATTTTTTATCTCTTAAAATTACAAGAATGTGTTGAGGTGACAGTTTGAATATAGGCTGGCTTTGATATCTCAAAGCCAAGACTTTATATTTTAAAAAAATTTTTTAAATTAAAATTTAATAAATATTTAATAAATTATATAATTAATATTATGATTTATAATAATTATTTGTTTTAAAAAATATTATATTAAAATATTATATTTGATTTAATTACTCATATTATATACTGTATAATTATATATATACAAATTGTTGTATAAAAATAAGGATTTAAATCAATATCAAAATTTTTTAATTTATAATATGTGCATATTTCATAAATTCAGCAAACTAAATTCAAATTTTTCAAGTTTAATATCATTAATTAATTTTTTAAAAAATTATAATGAACTTATATGAAACTGCAAATTTAACAGATAGTATATGATTTAAATATTCGATTAATTTATGACATTATATGAAAAATTGATTTTTTTTTTGAGATATTATTAAAAAAACAAAACCATTACAAAAATCCAAATAACAAAATCAAAGCAAATATATATATTCAGTATTACAGTATATATAATAAAATAACCAATAGTACAAATCTCAAAAATAAATTTGCCATGTTTTGTTGTTTAATGGAATCATAATAGTAATTGTGAAACATGATCGGTATGGTATTTTGTATATTAGTGTAAAATTATAAATGATATAATAATAAGTGCTGTTTAATAAAAATATAATAATGAATTATTGTTTTTTTTTATTATTTTGTTGTCAAGTCATAAAACACATACATATATTTTAAATAAATTTAATTTATTAGTATTTTTAAAAATACCCTTAAGATACAACACAATATTTCAGCAGTTAAAAATTATTTCTTTAAAAGCACATATGATATTGCCTTAGAGATGTGCAAACCATATTAATACAAGTGAGAAAACATCGCCACATATGTTTTAATACTTAATCCATACATAGAATTATTTTCATTCAAGCTTCGTTTGCAAAGTGGCTTTATTTGGTTCCTAGAAGAGATAACGCGTTAAACTTTGTGATTCTTTAATTTTAAGCAACAATCAAAATTGGATGCCTAAATATTCACATTGTTACATGTCGAACATTCCCGGAGAAACAAATCAAGCAAAATATTTAAGTCTAGAAACGATAAGCGTAAATTGTACTCCCAGGGAGATTAACAAAAACTATTTAAGAGACACCTTGTAGAGCATGTATTTTTTTCCGGCGAATATTTGGCATCTTAAATAATTGCCGAGTATACCATATTAAATTTAATGACTTTTTTAACATGAGAGATAAAATAAAATAAAAATAAAAAAATTTATTAAAATTTACAAAAATATACAATTTTGCCCTATCTATCATATTATTAGAATTTTTTTTTTTTGGCACGGAATTCTAAACACTCCATTGACGACAAATTCTTACGTGACGATTTCTATTGCTAGATGTTCGAAAATATCGATTACACCCTGGCAATGGACACCCATATGCTAAAACAAACAAATAAATAAATACAAAAAAGTAGATTATTCATTAGACCTTTCAACGGTGAATTAAAAAATAATCATAAATTGTTTAACAAAACTTCGACATACGCCTATTCCCAGTATGAATGTTTAGATGATTGTTCAAAGTGCTTTGGTAACGGAATAATCGTTCACACTCAGGACATCTGTGTCTGTATAGCGATCGCAAGTTTTCGTGACTGATATAGCCGACGAGGATAAGTTCGTTATTATCGTCGACACGGTAAATTCCATTAGTGTAGGGGTAAACAAATTGTAAAGCCGAGCTTTCAACGAAACCGGATGAATTTAAACTTGTTCCAGAGGCATAGCCTACAAAGGTACCAATGAACAACCCCACTTTCATCTTGCCAATTCAAACAGACAATCATGTATTGGAGGGCCGCTGTGATTATATCATGACTTCTCGTGAAGTATACACTAGCTTCGTTCCTGTTCTCGTAATGGATCAAAATGAAATCCATGGTAAAAAGATACTAAGAGATTCGGTTTTTTAAATTATGATTGATGTTGTGAAGAGTAAGATCAAAAAAGGTTCTTTGGGTAGCTATGAGGAGGTACGGTTGTTTAAATATGAAAAAAAATTTAAAATAAATGCTCGAGACCCAACGGAATTATTATTTGATCTTTACCATAATAGAATAACTACAGAATGCCGACATGCGTATGACTAAAATCTTCATTCACCATTCTTATACTCGACAATATCAAATTACACTTTAACTCATAAAAAAAAAAAATTGCCACCAGAGTAGATATTTGGGCTGCGCCCAATTCCATTCACTAGGAAAGTTAATTTTTACCAAAAATTAAATATACATCACCGTATGTACAGTGGGTAGACAAAAGTATTCGGACACGTGATTCATGATGTAATAGCACAATAACTAATGAAAAAGTTTTATTTAGTGTCTTA